GCACTATGGTCTTTACTCTTTGAAGTAGCTGAGGGCTTTTGTAGAATCAAAGAGGGAAGCACCATGAATGCTTTCAAAGCAATTGGATTTAAGTCCGAGTTTGAATTGAATTGTTTTATCCAAAAGGTCAGCTCTTCAATATAATTCTTTCCGGCTCGCCCAGACGGTATGTTAAAAATATTTCTCCTGAAGCGGACAATTTCATTATAAATGCCATTGACAAAGTCGAAAAAGCTTGCGTAGCTGATATCGCCCCACATTTTGTCCTTTACTTCGGATGGTAACACATCGAAATCAGGTAAGTGTGGTTTAATTTTGGGGGAAATAATTTCATTTTGTCCGTTTTCATGGGTTGCGTGACTACACTTGGCGGCTAAATTCTCTCCCACTGAAATCGTATGCAAATCCGAATTTGAAGCCATAAAATTAGCATTTTGGCTAGGCTGTTCGCTCGTGTTTTGATTTTTGCCTTCGTAATTTTCTTCCATATTAGATATATTTACAGTGTCTTGGCGACTTTCCGTGTTTGTTCCACCAATAGCATTCACACTAGTGTCTACTATGTTGCTCTCCTCGGCATATTCTGGCATTTTTTCTAGTTTTTCGGCTTCATTTCGTAAATTATAACTCTTAAGCCCGTGTTGCCCATATCCTTTGTCGTCCCAAAGCTGTTTCATCACTTCAATATAGCCTTTCTTTTTGCCGTTTTCGTTCCGTGGTGGATTTTGCGATGAAATTAATTCTTTTGCCTTTCGTTTACATTGGAGCACATCGTCATTCATTTGTTCTTGTCCACCTAAATCTCTTGGATTTATGCGTCATTGCAGCGGCCATTGCAAACGGCGTCTTCTTTAGTGTTGATTTTAATTAAGACAGCGTGCAACCTCGTTCGGTCGTTCCCAAGGACTTTCTTATAAGGACGAGGAGAGAGACTTTTAGCTGGGACTGCTCCACAACTTTCGCTCATGATGGCCACGGTGTTTACCACTATACTATGATACAACTATGATACAGGTTGATGATACAGTTGCCTGATGATCGCGTAAAGCGTGAAACTCAGAGTAGCAACGCAAACATCCAGACCTTGACTGAATTAATTCCGCTCTACTTATAATGGTATTGAGCGCTCTTCTACCTTTTAGATCCTTGGTGTATGCTTTGACTTTCTTCATAATGGACCACTTTATCATGTACTGACTGGTTTGAGTGTTTTCTGACTTCAGTTTCCAGATGTACTTAGACAGTTCGGTATTGTTTTTGTATTCCTCATGTCGGAAAGACTTAGTGTGATTGCGGTATCTTGTTTTGAAATCGCCCGCCGTGATGCCAGTGATGACATTGGCAGTGATGCTATTTGTGCTATTATAGACTAGTAAATAGTGTCCAGACAAACTCTGAGTAAAAATGTTGCAGAATCCCCTCACTACATAAAAATGAGGACACATGTTTCTCATAGTTATACCTCTGAGAAATTGCAAGCTTAGAGGCAGATTACATGGAGCACTTTCAACCCCAGGTTTGAACTCAGCCCTGTTAACCGGTCAACAGGGCTGAGTTCAACCCCGGGGTTGAAAATACTTTGTTAATTGGCCCCTTAAAACCAGTGCTGGATTTAGGGGGATGCGGGAGGGTGGGCTCTGGTCAACAGGAGTACATGGGGGGGGGGGCAAAAATGACGTTTATCCTAATTCTAACCAACTTATGTTAAGGAATTCAGTTGGGTGTCACTAGTTGACAATAGCGGAATAGCCAACATTAAATATTCTGAATTTTGAAATGTTTTGAGAATCTAAAAATGTTCCAGAATGTTTTATCAGAATGCTGGAAATGCCATTTCAGAGACCCTGTTCATGTTATAGTTTTCTGCGTGCGAAAAGTTTTCAACAACTTTACAACGGAAGAAAAATCGTTGAATCGTGAGAAAAATCTGTGGTTTTGTTACAGATTTTTCTCCCGATTTTGTGAATCGCAAGGTGCTGACGCAAGTACTCACGACAGGTTATTTACATACAGGGAGCAAAATCGGCCCGACAAATCGCAGTGTGTTAACGTACCTTAACAATTTTAAAAAGTAGCGAATAGCGATTCGCTGTTTGAAAAGTAGCCAACTTCTTGGCTACTTTTAGGCAAAATGTAGTTCGCTATAACTACAGCTACTGGTTTTAAAAAGTAGTCAAAAACTACTGGCTACTTGAAAATTGTAGTTCGCTACAGTATAGTAGCGAACTACAACTACTTCGCTACTACCCACCCTTGGTCAAGTTGTATGTTTATATTGAACCGAGGCAGCCCAGTTACCAGAGTTTGGCCTGTGATTCCGATAATAATACCTGTGGTTCCGGTTTCCCTTGGACCGACCCTAGTTTTTTCTGCCAACACTATTATTTTTTTGATGCGGCTAAACATGCAGTCCTATTTTCTCCGGGTGGTTGTGGGCTGCTGATACAGGACAGTGTGCCATAATGGCATCTGTTGACACAATAACTGATTAATTAATATAAACTATGTACTCAAAATATGAATAATATGACTCGAAAAAGGCTTTTTGCATCAGTGCCTGGCAACAAAACAGTGACTGAAAATGTTAATACCAGAAAAGTCTACTCTTCTGGTTAATTGGTTAACTAGTATATCTGCCCATGTGCCTTAAACCTCTCAACTTGCCCCAGTGGCGTGCTGGGTACTATTTTTCTGGAGGTGCCAGTGGGCTGTCAACCAATATGCGTCCCTATAATGTTACACTTGATAAACGAAGGCTGAATGCACGAGCCTTGTGCCGCAGGTGCGAGGTTTGCCTAGGGGGGTCCGGGGGGATGCCCCCCAGGAAAATTTTTGAATTTAGAGTCTCTGAAATGCCATTTCCTGGACTTTGGGGGAAGATTTGACAGAAATCTGATGGTCAGGAAACGGCATTATAACGTGTCGAAATTTGCAATTTGGTTAGGATTTAGTAATATTACTTAAATTATGCAATGCTAACTACTTCAAGCGATTAATTTAATCCCAATTCTGTTCTCTACTGATCTACTGTTCTGAGCACATTTACAACTTAAAGCCCACGCATATGCATTTTAAGGTTTCTTTGCCTGGCTGCCCAAAGGGCATGTTTCAGCATTATTTCATTACTTACATTACTCATGCTTCTTGTGCAAACAGCTAAATTGCGTACACAACTTTACATCAGTTATCATAACTTCAACTATCCAATTTGCGCCGCCCTCGTGATTCGTGAAGCATAATAAAGGGCATATTATAAGGGCATAATACCAGAAAAAAGGGCACAATTCCCGTGATCGCTTCGATCGAAACCTGACCAATATTCCGGTAATGAGACATTGCCTGTGATCACTGATCATGTTTTTATATGAACGATTTCGTGTGAGCTGTGAGGTAGCAAATACGGTTAGGCAAAATAGTCTGTAGTTTAATATATGTCGTCTATGCGCTTAGTCTGATTTATACCGTAGCCTATAAACACGTCTTTTCTTGGCGGAAGTAACCATATTTTTTCGAGAATGTGTTTTTTCCCACCCACTTTCAAAATTCGGCGCCCCATTTTCATTTTTGCGCCCCCCAAGAATTGCCAGCTGGGGGGGGGGCCGTGGCCCCCCGGCCCCCCCTGCCAGCACGCCACTGATTCCCAGGCCTTTGGCTACCTTTTTGGATATATAATGTTATGCTATACAATGCTTATGCTTCTCGGTTCTAGATAAAACTATGTAAGGATGATTTTGTCTAAGTTCATACGGGTATTCTCTAGGATCAGGCAGTTCAGGTACAGCAAGGGTGGGGTTGGTTCCGCTTGAATCCTTCAGATTTTTCGGATGGTTGCTAATTTACGCCTGCTTCTTAAAGAAGGCAGGCAGTCTCGGTCCAGGTCAAGAATTTTCAGGCTCCCTTGTCTGTACACGTTCAATTTCTTGTTGTAAATATTCTGGAATTCTTGCCCAAACAGGCGATGCGTGCTCTAATACAGGTCTAATTTTTGACATGTAAGTTGTCTAAGTTTGGATATGTAAGTTATATATATACATCAACAAAATAGTAGATATTGAATTAAAAAGATACACTTACATATGAAAATACGCATGTAGATCATTCTACTGGCCACAGAATGATCCTGCACTATACCGTATGAGAAATCAATTGATAGCGAAATCTGCATTCTGAAGGTAATGGAATGATGTGAACCGTGTATTAATCGGAAAGTCCATCGACATACGTGAAAGTGTAAAATGCTATAAAGCTTTCTTAGATTGGATTTTACACAATCCTTCCAACCACATCATGAGTTATATTGTTATTCTAATGAGTTTCACAGCCATCTTCCCTTCTATAGGCTATGTTCCAACATACAAGTAATAATGTATATTCATATTAAGATGATGTAATAAAATACGATACATTCATTTGCGGTGGACCAACAACGCAATGTGTACTCCGTTCAAGCGAAAATTCCATATACGATGTAAATGCAAGATTGTTGATCAAATAATGAACATTTCAAAATATTGGTACATAGCATTTTATTTATAATGAAGCATGAACGATTTCTGTCGCGTTATGCTGTTCGTAATAACATAATAGTTTAATAACATTTTGTTCATATCATCTTCATGTCAAATATAAGGAGAATTTCCACGTTTAGTCGAGTGAAGCCCCTTCGTCTTATATTTTTCAGTTAGTTGCATCCCTACATCAACAAAAGTTTCTTCATATCGTTGCATGTTATTGAAGGTGTCTACATGCCATGCATGCTCGTTGGCAGTATTCATATTATAATTCTTGGTTGCATGCCAGACATGGCGTGGTCACAGATCCATAAGCCGTGGTAAGAGAAACACGATTTCTGTATTTTTGAATTTCGAAAGAACTGTAAATGACTGTATTCGATCACATTTATGCATTTGCCGAAAACGTGGCCAATGAATATACGTTGTGGCAAAACATGAAAAGAACGATGAATTTCATGCAATTGGATTCTGCAACCTTTCCAAATAGATAAGTGTAATAATATTAAAATTTTAGTTGGACGAATCAATTTGAAAAAAGTGCTAAATTGTTACCTAGTTTTTGAAAGAACACATGAGAAGCACGTGGTCTGTAATAACAGAAGGTGACCATCACGAGGCTTTCTTGTTTCTCGGTTTTCATGTCATCAATTATATATGGTGTGTGGGTTATACGTGTTTTGATGTAAACTTTTGTGTCAATTGTTTAATGTGAAATCTTTATGAGTATATTTCATCGCCAATGTACTGTGTTGAAGAGATTTACATACCTTTTGCACGTCCATTTCAAGTCTTCTTTGTGTAATACGTTATTTGTGTTTGTATATATTTAAATTGCTTTTTTTTTTCAATGAACCTTTTTAATATATTTCATAATCACTGTTGGTCTTCTGTGTTTGTAAACGTACTGTATTGGAAAGGTGCATGTTGTAAGCAGTATTTAAATAATAGCTTTTTGCACCTCCTCCGTTTCAATTCTTCTTTGAACAGTACGGTATCTGTGTTGGTATTTAAATTGCATTTTTTTAATTAATAGATTTCATAATCAATGTTGGTCTTCTATGTTTGTAAACGTCCTGTATTGAAAAGGTGCATGTTGAAAGCTGTATTTCCATACTAGCTTTTTGCACCTCCACCATTTCAATTCTTCTTTGAACAGTACGTTGTTTCTGTATGTATTTAAATTGCATTATTTTCCAAAGAAGTTTGCAATACTTCCCTGCCCAAGGGAACCGTCTTTACTTGCTGCTACTGATCCACAGTCTATTCAAGAGTGCACAGTTTAAAGAATTGGTTTCATCCTGGAGGACATTTGCATCTCATTCGATAGATAATCGTTCAAGGGATTGACAGATGGCAATTACGAGTGTTGATTTTATACATTTATTGGACCTAATCAGGAACACTTGCGAACATCGTCCCTCTGGGATTAACAGTTTTATACTTGCTTGTTTAACCTTTTTTTTTGCTTCTTGATAAGAACTTAATGTGCATGAAACTTTTTGTATGTGAATTTATTCGTGCACTTGATATGCCTTCAAAGTCATACTACTTTAATTTGGTGACTCTTATATTGTTATATTTTTCTGCAAAACATTTTCTTTTCATCACTTCAGTTCATTATTTCTATTTATTATATAACGTATAGTGCTTTATAGAGAATTAAAATACTCATTAAAAATTCATAAACCTTGTGGCAAATCATGTCAGCCATAATATGTCACGTGGAGTGACTTTATATCTGATAAAAGTCATCTTCATTAGTATTCTTTATATAATTGTTCATCCTAATTAGTATGATTATATAATTGTTCATCCTAATTAGCATTCTTTTGTAGTCGTATTTTAAGCTATATTCAAAACACTCGAACTCGTGTTTTATCATATCTAAAACGCTCGGCTGGGCCTCGCGTTTTAAATATTATAAAACACTCCTTCTCGTGTTTTAAATACTACTTCGAGCGCTGAAAAGTGATGATCTCACATGTGAGATTATTCATGATAATCTCACATGTGAAAATTATCGCTTTTCAATTATCGCTTTTCTGTAAAAATTATCGCTCTTCAAAGACTGTCCTTTATATAATAAACAGAATAATACATGGTGCTTGGAAATATGGAAATACCAGATTTATTTCTCGTGTTGAACATGATATCTCACTCGTTCACTGTGCTCACTCGTGAGATATCATGTTCAACACTCGAAATAAATCTGGTATTCCACACCTGTATTATTCTCTATATATTGGCCTATATATTGGCGAACTCTTTCATTTAATCATTTCTGTTCATCATAAACGTAGAAAACTTTGACTAGTTATAATTGGGATTTCGTTAAAGTTGGGGTTTTAGGGATGATGTACATAATTCAGCACCTGTACGTACATGAAATGTCCCACATGTCCCTTTTCTAACCAAACCCCTTTTTGGAAAAGTGTGTTGTGGAAAGGCAAGTGATTGGCGCCTGAAAACCAGTCTTCTCACTGTTCATGTCCGGAATCACATTCTTGCTATAATGTAGAAATTGTGGTAGATTGATTTTTAGGCATGCTGATGAGCCCAGACATTAGGGGAAATAGTTCATTCCATGCTTAATACTAACCTCCCCTGCTTAATCTTATCTTTCCAAGAAGACAGCAACACCGGACCTACACTGTACCACCACGTTTGAGATATCTTTTTCAGGTAGGTCAGA